AAAAAAAAAATAATGGAGGTATGGGTGTTTGGATGGTTTGAGTCCAGGGAGAGAGAGGTGAGATGGTCCATTTGTCAAATTTTGAGTGGTAGGCCAAGGGTCAGCACAAACGGACGAGCCACTATCGCAGGGGGTGCTGGCTCACGTCCATTATCCTTGGAATGATGGATCTCAGCCAATCTCCCTCCATGGGCTCTTGTGCTGCGGATAAGTGATTTATCCGCAGCGTTTATCAGCTTGCGAAAAGCGATGGCGCTTCTAAGTGTGAGAAGCGATTGCGCTTATTTTTGCGACAAGCGACTGCGCTTCTAAATGTAGGGACATCTATAGTCCCCTGGGACTTGTGAGAAGCGATTGCGTTTCTAACTGCATGTACGGATATCCGTAGTCCATTGGGACTTTTGGAGAAGCGATTGCGCTTCTAACTGGACGGATATCCGTAGTCCATTGGGACTTGTGAGAAGTGATTGCGCTTCTAAATTAGTGTAGGGATAGCCGTATAGTCCCTTGGGACTTGGGTGAAGCAATTGCGCTTCTAGGTGTAGGGATAGCCGTAGTATTGGAATGTTATAACCGTTAGCATGTAAGTGGTAACTATGGGAATTTATTTAGCCATGCTGGTAGTTACATGGACCTGTCTTATTAGAACTGGTAGCAGGTAAATTGTACATGTGATTGTTAAACCATGCTTGTTGGACTGTTTCAAGCGAATAAATGGTTGCCGAGTGACCACAGTGCTTTTCTCCGGTGTGATTCTCTTCACAACACGGCTTGCGCTCTCATCGAGCGCAGGCCCCTTTGTGAAAGGTCACACCGCGGTCACACATTGAGTGTAGAGTGGGCGAAGTAACTTGAGTGCGCGCTGGGAGTCAGCTAGTGGATGTCTGGTCTGCATCGGTTGTCAGGCGGCCTGAGGAGTTCATTGCTCAAGTTGCCAGAGCGCGCGCAATGCCAGAGCACTGGCACAAAGACCGCTCAGTTTCGGTTTGGTTTTCGCTTGATACAGTCAATGACCCTCCTCCCACCCCGATCTCCTAATGCAGGGTTGTTGCTTTGAAACAATGGACCCTCTGTAATCTCAGATAGGTATTGAAAGGAATTTTTTACCGAGTTTAAATGTTATTTTTGAATTCAATGGGAACGTGTACAGTATGTTTTGGATGACGGGGAAAGGGTTCGGTTCGGTATGAGTAGCGGGCCGGATGGTTTGAGCCCAGGGAGAGAGAGGTGAGATGGTCCATTTGTCAAATTTTGAGTGGTAGGCCAAGGGTCAGCACAAACGGACGAGCCACTATCGCAGGGGGTGCTGGCTCACGTCCATTATCCTTGGAATGATGGATCTCAGCCAATCTCCCTCCATGGGCTCTTGTGCTGCGGATAAGTGATTTATCCGCAGCGTTTATCAGCTTGCGAAAAGCGATGGCGCTTCTAAGTGTGAGAAGCGATTGCGCTTATTTTTGCGACAAGCGACTGCGCTTCTAAATGTAGGGACATCTATAGTCCCCTGGGACTTGTGAGAAGCGATTGCGTTTCTAACTGCATGTACGGATATCCGTAGTCCATTGGGACTTTTGGAGAAGCGATTGCGCTTCTAACTGGACGGATATCCGTAGTCCATTGGGACTTGTGAGAAGTGATTGAGCTTCTAAATTAGTGTAGGGATAGCCGTATAGTCCCTTGGGACTTGGGTGAAGCAATTGCGCTTCTAGGTGTAGGGATAGCCGTAGTATTGGAATGTTATAACCGTTAGCATGTAAGTGGTAACTATGGGAATTTATTTAGCCATGCTGGTAGTTACATGGACCTGTCTTATTAGAACTGGTAGCAGGTAAATTGTACATGTGATTGTTAAACCATGCTTGTTGGACTGTTTCAAGCGAATAAATGGTTGCCGAGTGACCACAGTGCTTTTCTCCGGTGTGATTCTCTTCACAAATAAGTATTTGAAATTGTATTTTGATCATTTTACTACACCAGTTGTGTTCATATGGCCACCAACGAATCCTATACATTTGTATCATGAAAAATGTTTTCACCCCTATTTCTACAAATTTAACCATTCATTAATTGATGTCATAGACTAGGCCAGCATTACACATTTCAGATATCATTTTTTTGGATATTTGATTTATTAATGTTTGCTCAAAGAATGAAGGGGAAACATGATTTAGTCAGTCTAAATAACAAAAAATGTGAAGACAAAATCATTTTTATTTCACATCATGAAAATCTGATCAATGACTAGTACCTTATAGTTTATATGGTGATAAAATGATTATTTCTTAAAAAACAATCAATATGCACTGATGAAGACCATTGTCTGTCACACTGTTTGAAATGGTGAACTCTTCTGAAAGTTCTGAATGAAAAATTGTTTCTGCTAAGAAGATTTATAACCTGTAGGCCTATGTTGTGAAATTATTCAGATTGGCATGTCTTAACTAAAACCTCATAAATCATTGAGATGGTTGTTTTATTTCAATCTCCTGTAAAATGAGAGCAACTATAAATACATCTCGTTACACAATAATCAGGCTTTAGAGTATTCTCTCCCTGTAAATGGAGACTGATATACTGTTGATCGGCCTAGCCACATGTCAAAATTCAATTATCCTTGGATCCCAGTTGTTACTTAGATTATATGAATAAAATTATAAGATAATGACTGACTTCTTATGATGCACATTGCTAAATCTAAGGCACTTCTAAGTTGTTGCTTTATACCAAATTTGACAAAGTTTTTTTACTTTTTTAATTTTTTTATTAATAAAAAATTATAAAAATAAGCCCTTAAAGGAATGTACAACATTTGCTTTTGCTGCAATTTTCAGAAATAAATGGATTTGGAGGATTAGTATGTTATATAAAATATTGTTAAACTGACTTGTTTCATGTTTTGAGCTTGTAGATACTGGAAAAACCAAGAAAACCTATCATGTTCTTGTAGTCTGGTTCCCTGACCCCACTTAAGATGAAACGAAGCAATTAATACACTTTGGGGAATTGTAAGGTCAGAGAAGCAGTCTAGCAGGCTTGTACCCCTTCACAGGTGTGTGATCAATTGCAAAGAAAAGTCAAAATAACTAAATATGAAAAATTAAGAAAAGTTTTTGAAAAAAAGCCAGTTTTCTCCAATGCTGGTCAGCCGACCAGCATTGGAAAAATACAGTTTTTCTTAAAAATGTCAGCCTACCAGGAGCCACGATTTTAAAGGACTGAAACAATTCAGTAAGGTATTTCGTGGTAATTTGATCATTTCGTTTTTTGATGTTTGCAAATGTTGTATTTTCCCTTTAGGTTTCCTACAAAATATAACCACCAAATTTTACATTGATGAAATTGCAAACAAAACAAATTAAATACTTAAAGAAATTGTTTGTAACAATTTGGAAAGATGTTGATGGTAAGTTTGTAAATGAAGGCAAAATAATTATGTGCTGTATTTATTACAAATTGCCATCAATCTACCATCCTGGCCAAAACTCGCTGGGCCCCCAACTCCCCGGCCTTAGCTCAATGTTGTCTCTCATTGTGCGGTGTGTGCTCCATCTGCTGGAATGAACAACATTGACCGAGGGAGCGAGGGAGTGGGTGACCCTTGGAGCCTAAGGTTATTTCCAAGTGTCCCAACCATTTTGGCCGGGATTGTAGGTATATATCTGCTCTGGCAGGGATCATTCTGATAGATTTCATGCAAGACTTTCATATAAGACGGCCCGAGCTTATTGTGCACTAGCACTTGTTTATGAAATCAATAATTCGGCAACTAACTTAAATTCTCACTGGATAAGATAGTGGCATCATTTTCTTGGACTAGATTTAAAAAAAAATAGGATTATTCTTTTGTAGAAATTTGATAGCAAACAAAAGAATGATGTTGACAAGCTCTAAGAATACAAAGATATCAGTTTAAACACTGGGTTGCTTCCCAGTGAGTCCTTGAATATTGTATTTACACATTTTAAGTTAATTGCTACTAAAAGGTTTTCATTTTGACCATTTCAGGTTTTCATCTCCACCACTCAACCCTGCTTGCTTTGATTGGATACTTTGTTGCACAATTTTTTTGCATTCAAATCAACAAGAGCTTGACCTGTTTCATCTGTACAAAAGAAATAGTGAGAATGATGTACAAAAACCAGTGATAAGGCCAAAAAAAAAAAAAGTCTCCGGTTTCTGGTATGGAGCTTGTCCAAAAAGTGGTGCGGCGACGCGGCTTTTTTTTTTTTTTACCCGACTTTTTTGCTTCGATTTGCTTCAAATGTTGGCTGATGACTGCAAATGGTGCCCGACTAAACTTAGTGCAAATATATGGGAGTCCAGAGAGGCCACATAAAGCTTATTCTCGATCATAACCCCACCTAAAAACACGTTGAAATTGCGCAGCAGCAGAATTCCAGTCAAACCAGTGAGTTTGGCGGTTTTGAGACATCATCTTTCATTGAAAAAAAAACTTTTTCATTTCGCCGACGCGCATGGCTACGGCCATGCGCGCGCATACCAGAAACCGGAGACTTTTTTTTTTTGGCCTAACGAGTATTTTGAAAAAAATCAAAGAAATCTGCAGTTTCAATAATTTTGAAAGATATACCTGTTTCAAGTAATAAAATCAAAGTTTGGATGTATAATAGCAAAAGTTGCCAAGCTTTTAGTTGCATCAAACTAGCTTCAAGTTCCTACCCCTTAGATACAGTGGCACACCCAGGATTTGGCTTTTTGGGGGGGGGGGAGCTCACATTTTTTTTTTATCAAATGTGTTTGGCCGCAGAACAAAATTGAGGGTTTTTTTGGGGGGGGGCTGACAATCTTTACATTGGTGGCGCCAATTGCAGCCCTATTATACTACTCTAAAAAAGGCCACATACAGGTCAAACCGTAGGACTACAAAAAAAAATAAGGCCCCCTCCCCCCACCCCAAAAAAATGACAACCTCTGGGGGGCTGTTGGGGCTCAAGCTCCCGAGGCCTTCCCCGTCCCTTCAGTGCACCACTGCTTAGATAGAGTAAGATCATCATTTTTACTTGTTATAAAAACCTGGGGTGTGAATGATAATAACAAGATTATGGTTAACAAGATGGTTATAACAAGATTATGTACGTACAATGATTTGCCCTGTCTTCCAAGATTAGGGCACACAATTTTATCTAACTATTCCCTTGGTGTAATTATTCTGTCCCTACACTCGGTGATAGACCTGTACAGATTGTCCTGTAGCCACTACCAGATCACCATTTGATGTGAATGTGATGCCACGTGGATAACCACATCCCTTGATCACACATCCAATGTACTTGCCATCAGGACTGTAATGCAGAATATCACCTGTTTGATATCTGCCCACAGCAACATAGATGCTGTCATCACTGTCACAGCACACACCGGTAGGGCAACCCCCCTGCATGTTCCTGGTCATGTCTACTGAGGATAGACTGGCACCATAAAAGCCTACACATACCAATCTTTCCTTAGGCCAATTTGTGTAGATGAGGTGGTGATTATGCATTGTTAGATAATCCTCAATCATCTGAGCAGGCAGTCTCCTGATGAGGGATCCATCTGGGTTGTGTATAGATATCTCATCCTCGTCTCTGTAACCCACTGCTATCAGATTACAGTCATCCACTGCAAGGCATGTTGGTTGGCTGTCTGACCCTCTACCTGGTGTGAACTGATGGAGGAGCTGATGTTGCTTGTTGAAGACCTTAACTACTCGACCATCTAGAGCAAGGAGTTTGCCATCCTTCCTCACTGCAATACACCTTACATCATCAGTGAGGCCATTGATTTGTGGGATAGGCAATTGTTCCTGGTGACTATTGGGAATTGAAGCTGTTAATAGTACACCACTGTTTCCAGAATAATTTTTAGATAGTACAAGTATTTTATTGTTAGAGAGTGCTGCAACATGTGATATATATGTATGTGTTACTCCAATGTTCATGGCTTCACTCTTCAGTTCCCATTTCTCCTTCACACATGATCTTGGAGGTCTTGGCGTTGGCTTTTCTGCAGCCTGTGGCTCTTCCTCCAGAATGAGTCTCCCAAGTGACCTGTCACCATCTTCAAAATCCATGAAGGTCAACTTGTCAGGAACTTGCTGTGGCTGTTTCCCTGTCAATTCACTGAGGTTATGCAAGAGCTTCTGCTGAAGTTCAAGAATCTCATAGCAACTTGCTTGATTCATGAGTTGTTTGACCTCCTCCAGCTTGTGCTCTGTCTGTGTCACCTCTTTCCTGTTGATTGCTTGAACAGCTTCAAAAGCTTTGAGTTTGTCTTTATAAATCGTGCTGGTCTCTTTCAACAATTTCTGTTCTTCCTTTTTGATCTTTGCAACCTCCTGTTTGAGCTTTGTAATCTCCTGTTGAGCCTTTTTGGAGATTTTCTTTTGAGTGTTGGCAAACATGGTGTCCAGATCCTTGCGAGATTTTAACATCTCTTCTATGGTGGTGCTCAATTCTGTTTTTCTCCTCTCACTGTTTTGGACCATTTCTGTGACCTCCTTCTTACATTTCTCTACTGCCTCAGGTAATCCAGTGAGTGAGTGTTTTTCATGATCAAGTACAGAGCATGTTGTGCATAAGACTTGCTCACATGAGTTGCAGTAGACATTGAGATTCTGATCTGGATGCTCGTCACATTTGGGAACTTCTTCTCTTAGTTTACTCTTGTAGACAATCTCTCCTGATCGAAGTTGAGCCAGTGTGTAGATTTTGTGAGATTTCATCATCAAATTCATTCGTCCATGTGCCTTTTGACATTCTTGGCAGAGGAAATGATCACAGTCCATGCATCTTGAAATAGCCTGATTCTCCTCATCACAGGCTTGACATTTGATGTCTGACCCTTGACCTTCCAGTAGCTTTTCCTGCATTGTAACTTCCTCCACCATGGCACTGAAGGCAAAGTTATTAGGGAGATCAGCAATCCCAGACCCTTTCAACATGGTTTCACGTCTGCACAAAGGACATGTCAGCTTTGTACCAGTACCACTAGAATGTTGGCTCTGTCTCAGATCGTGGAGGCATTGCAGGCAAAAACTATGCAAACAGTCCAGCAGTTTGGGCTGCCTGAAACGGTTGGTGCAGATGGAGCATTCCAGATGATCCACACTAGTCTTCTCCAACACTGATTGAGCTGTAACACTAGATGCCATCTTGACTTCTTGAAAATCAAGTTTTGTGTTGAACCTAAGAATGAATAAAAGTGTCAAAGGTTGACTTTAATCTATAAAATGATTATATTAATCATCTCCAACGATGTCATCATGTTTTGTTTCCTCAGTTCATGGGTATCAATTCATCACCATGTTTACGAAGATCGAGCCAAGACAGTGTGTTTTCGAGATAATCACAAAATACAACATATGATTCTATGAAAGCTTAATTTTTATGTGAACTCAGTTTGTAAAACAGTTGTTAATTAGTGAAAATTAATTAGTGAAGATGTGTGGCTCTTTGTGAAAATGAAAGTCTCAGTTAACCCATCTTTATACCTATCAGTGCAATAGGTTTTGTACGCATTCAAGGGGCCAAAATTTGGCTCTTCATGAAAATGCAAAATGCATTTATTAAGTTCTGCCCCTTGCAACATTAATGTAACTTGGAAATTAATGATGTTTTGCTTATACAAACATGTCACATTGGTTAAGTACAATGTTTTAAAACAAACTAGTGAAAAAAATGAAAATCGAAAAAATTGTAATTTTTGACATCTGTGGCTCTTCATGCAAACGGTGATGAATTGTAATGTGTAATTAATTCAGTTGATTGACATAACTCCAATGTGCAGAGAGGCACTTGGACGGCCCCTCTCTTTAAACCCCCCCCCCCCCCCCCACAACAAAAAATATATTGAGCTACTCTTAGTTACTACTGTATTAGAAAAAAAATGATGTGAAATGCTTTTTGCTTAGGCTTATATTTTATTAATTCAAAGCATTGACATGATGAGCTCCAATGTACAGGGAGGCTTTTGGGCAGTCCCACTCTCTGGAGGGGAAGCTAATTGTAGTTTTTAATCTCCCCCCCCCCCCACCCCCAATTTTGTGTTGCATTAAGGGAGCGCGGGCTGACTGAGGTGCATGGCCCGCCCTCCCCCTTTTTTGGTTCCATTGAATACAATATTTTACATTTATATCTAGTCAGCCACAACCAAAATACAATGCATTGAGGAAAATCACGATAAAGCATTTATAGGGGAAGAAACAGATAAGAAAAACACCAAAAAAGCAGTGCTAACGTGACTTTGGCACGATCCCCAGCTGCATGGCATAAACACATTCACGGCTTCTGTCTATAGTGCCCCTTGAACAAAGACAATTTCAAACTGGGGAACCGCCAACATAGGGCTGGTCCGGAATAGCTCAGTTGAGTGTTTTACAGTATTCTGCAGATTATAGGTTCAAACCCCACCTTATCAAGTTCTTTGTTCAACTTTTATTTGAGGTTCAAATGAAGGATCAAGGATATGTTAAGTCCTCTCAAGCCAGTAGACTAAACAGGGACATTTTTGTCAAGAGTATTGTATTTGAGCATTGACTACTCCCTCTTGTAAGACCAATGCTGCACATACCGGTACTGGCAATTATTCCAAGATTCTTGACAAATGCCATGTAAGATGGGTACAACCACGGTACAACATCAAGTATCTTACCTGAATTGAAGTCTTTTTGTTAATTTAGAAGAAGATTTGAAACTATCCTTCTGGAAGATGGCGCACAACATAGGCAATTTACAACTTTGATGTGTATACAATACACTGTACATGTTCATGAATGCATATGATTGCACATAGTGCGTAAATTCCTAGTTCTATTTTTAGAAGCTATTGGAGTCCGTGTATATACATGTACATGTACTGTACAGGGTACTCTCTGCTCACATCAATGCAGGTTCCTGTGCATAAATGGCAGTCAGTGTTTCCATGACCCTGGTGCCCCAGCCCACGGAAATGGAATCAGACATCACCAATGCTATTTTGGGACTAAACAGCCCTGGTGATTTTCATATTTCAGCCTGAAAAAAATGTACCACATTTTTTTGGTTCACTTTTGAATAAAGCACTGCCCTCAAAACTTAGCTCATTTTGTTATTAATTATATATTATATGTTTCAATCACTTGTTGCCCAATGGTGATCCCGGTTCATGAGAGCATGGAAGAATGTATATTTTATTTTTCTATTATGAGAGCTACAAAAGTAATCCAAAGTAAAACTTTTCCTAGGAGGGTTGCAGATGCAAAATAAAGGGGTGGTTTTTTGGGGGGTGGGGGGGGGGAGTAAGAATACAATAGACAAAATTGGAATTTGTCAGGAAAAAATATCAAATTTTCTTAAATGCCCAGGGCAAGGAGCCTGCAAATCAGATTACTGCTCATATATTAAGGCTGGTTGGGCTATTTTCGTGTGGATATTTCTTTATGTCATCACTTGTCTAGTCGGAGACACAAAAAAAATACACAATATCTCAAAAAAGTGCAGATTTGACATGAGTACAGTTCTTAAGAATTGCAACTTTTTGGTCAAATACTTTCAGCTCATGTGGATTAGGGTCTAAAAGTGATCTTGTGAAACTCATCACTACATGAGTGCTCTTTTCGAGTTTTACCTTGAAATCAAAGATTTTACCAAGGAAACAAAACTTTTTGGGGGATTTCTTTTTTTTATTCACTTCTAAATGATACATCAAATGGAGAAAATTGCTCCCCCAACATTCAGTTTTGGAAAAATTACCCCAGAAATTTTGAATGATTTGCCATCAAACCATGATAGGCTCCTCATATGTTTAACTGGTTCCTAGCTGTCCCTATCGCTATCAATAATGTGAATGCTAGGAAGGAGTCTCCTTGCATTGTGTATTTGTTTGTGCACAAAATTAATCCAAAATAAAAAGCCTTTTAAAGAGGGTTGCAGCTGCCCTAAAATAGAAATTTCACGTAACAGTTTTGAAAGCCAATGTTGGGTTTTATTAAATCTCTGTGCCCGTTGTATTACAAAAACATGGCATCAGAATTTACCAATCAACAACTTAGTCCAGATTTCAGAATGAAATTACAAAATGATGTCATGGTATGCAGGGTCGCATAAATTTGCATGCGTAGATATATCAGACGTTGGGCCAGAGACAGAGAGGGTGATACAATGGGTAATAGTCAGACTGGTGTTAAGGCTTCATTACTACAAAACCATTTTGTATTTCATTTCATTCAAAAACGTGTCCGTTCTCACCCTTAAAATTTTTGAATTACACACAATAGATACATTTAATACCAGAAGAGCCCCTCCCCCCCCCCCTTAAAACAATTGGTGAACCTCCAGCTGCCCCCTTGAAGCTTAATTTCTTAATCCTAGTTATGCTGCTGGTACCTTTAGAAAGTTCCAGATCACATACGTTTCACTCCCATAGAATGTGCGATACTTGTAAGTTATGTATTGGTGCGGCGGAAACTTGACTGTGCACTCAGAAACCATACGATGTCGGTCCTGACATCTAGGGGCGTCCTCTTGGTAGATGTTAAGTTTAACTGTTTCTATGCATGTAATTTAAAGAAATATTTACTTTAAATATATATTTTTTAATAAGTATGCCCTAAACATGCTATTGCTATAAATTTATTTCTGGGGGAAAAATTCCAAGTGGTGATTTTTCCCTTGTCACAAGTGGTGGCTAAGGTACCAAAAAATTCTGAGTTTCGATCGTTCATGTGTCACTTTTCCAAGACATTTGAAGTTCCATAAAACCCCATGAGGCGATCTTTATCATACAATCGATTTCTTTTAGCTACATTTTTTTGTTTTGATAAAAATAGCAATTTTGAAAGCTGACTGAACGGTATTGTTTCAATGTTTATTTTTCTTATCGCGATACATGGCAACAGACATCAACAAACCTGACTAGTTTTCCAAGATTGTAGTGATGTACGCAATATATTTTCACAGCACTTGGACAATATTCAAACGCGGTCAATCAAGAGATAACAAAAATCAAGCGAAAATATGTTCACAAATTTGATTACTTGATAATCCCCTCCACTGTTATGTACAAGTATAAATGTTGGGGAAACCTCTGAAATTATGTTTTTGTCGAAAACAATATGGTCCTAAATGTAAACAAATGACACCTCAGAAAAGACAGGTGTTTCATGAAGCTGCTGTTTCTACATTCTCAGAAAAGGTTTTTAAAAATGTCTTCCGCAAAATATACAGTGAATTAACTAACTAGTGATACAATAACAACTGCTCCCAAATTAAGTGGTCTATAAATGATGAAATAAAAATACATCTTTTTGAGTTGAATAATCGGTGTAAAATAGGCAGCCCTCATTATGTATGCAAATAACACTAGCAGTCACACATTCCCAGTGGAAAATGCAGCTGAAACGTATGTGAGATGCTGATTGGTAAAATAATAGACTTTGGATCTTTGCTGAAATGCCATTGTTGTCATGGAAGCTGTGTTATCTTGAAGAGATATTCTGTAACTAAAGCAAATGTTCATTGCTTCATTTAGACTACTTGGTCTATCAGCATGTAGCAAACCAATACTTATTCAAAGAAGCAAAAGCCTCAATCATTTATGGAATAAACTAAACTATTATTGTAATGGTACGGAACCTCTCACAAGTAGGTCATTCTAAACATTTAGGGTCCAAAGTCGGACATTTTTCCTGTCCCTGTATTAAACCTCTGAATTTATATAATTTGCCATTCAAGTGGCATTAAAGGTGACTTCAAACTAATTAATATTTCTTGGTTAGGTCATTTGATTCACAGAAGCAATCTTGGAGGAAGAGTACACACATAATGGAGTGCATCTTCAATTGCAAAATCATAGTTGCCAGACGTATAGGGACAGGAAAAAGTGGACCCCAAATTCAGAGAATGTAAATCTTCTATTGTATTTAAAAAATTACATTTAAAAAAGTCAAACAAACAAGACTTCAATTTACAAATGTACATCCATCATACTAACCACATTTACAAACATCCATTTATCATTGCAGTGGAATGCACAGGGTTTTCATTTTCAACTTTGTCGTAATTGCAATGAAACTAATAACCACCAGATATCAGAACAACTATCAAAGAAACTTGGCAGGATTTAAGAATTGCCTTGCGATGATAGGAGCACAAAATTTACATGGTGGGGGTTGAGTCCCTGCCCCCTCCACGCTTTTCCCGCCGCTCTTAAGGCAATTAGTCTGACCTAAAACCACTCTTAAGATATATTTTTATATTCCATGAGTGTTAAGGCATCAATACAAATTGGTTTCACTTTCTCCTCTACCGTTGCATTGCAATGGTATCAGCGAAAAAGAAAAAGGAGGGGGTGACGGCCATGCCCACCCTCCGCGCTTTTCAGGCCATTCTTAAGTTAATTGGTCTGATTTAAAATCATTTTTAAGTTATATTTCTATAATCTACGAGTTCCAAGCTATCGAATGATACTGGTTTTGTTCTTGTTCTCAAAATTTTGATTAAATGTAAAATTGGCTGTATTTGGCATGGCGCCAAAGGGCATTAGTCTGATCTAGCGAAGCTTAAGAATGGCCATTCTGTGATCAGGTTCGATGATACTATGCTTTAAGACAATCAGGGGATTTGTTCCCAAAATTTTGATTAAACACTATCCAGCTCTCAGTCTATCGTGGTAATACTTTCCCTTTCATTTGTAATATTTTTAAAATGCGCACTCTGCCCCATTCCTTTGCTCTCATTATTGGGCCACCAGATCTAGGATTTTATAGGAAGTAGGCTAGGTGTTGAAGTCTAAGATTTTCCAAAGGGAAAGTGGTTAAAGTATTAGAGGCAAAACATACCAAGACCATAGTCCTTAGAAATAAACCAAATATTCAGTATTATAGAATGTTGTTCATGGGGATGAACTTGTTCTTTCCCAGTGATAGCGATGTTCCATGTCTGATGGAAGTGGTTCATGGATACACTGGATAGCCCCACTTTAATTAATCTGTCCTTACACTCGGTGATAGATCTTTATAGACTCTCCTGCAGCCACTACCAGATCGCCACCTGATGTGAATGTGATGCCACGTGGATAACCACATCCCTTGATCGCACATCCAATGTACTTACCATCAGGACTGTAATGCAGAATATTACTCGGTGGATGTCCATACACAGCAACATAGATGCTGCCATCACTGTCACAGCACACACCAGATGACAACCCATCCCTCTGCATGTTGCTGGTCATGTCTACTGAGAATACACTGGCACCATAGTAGTCTACACATACCAACCGTTTGTTAAGCCAGTTTGTGTAGATAAGGCGGTGATTGTACATTGTTAGATAATCCTCAATCATAGGAGCAGGCAGTCTCCTGATGAGGGATCCATCTGGGTTGTGTAGAGATATCTCATTCTTGCCTTTGTAACCCACTGCTATCAGATTGCTGTCATCCACTGCAAGGCATGTTGGTTGGCTGTCTGGCCCTCTACCTGGTGTGAACTGATGGAGGAGCTGATGTTGCTTGTTGAAGACCTTGACTACTGGACCATCTAGAACAAGAAGCTTTTCATCCTTGCTCGCTGCAATACACCTTACATCAGTGAGGCCATTGATTTGTAGCCTTAGTGGGATAGGAGATTGTTCCTGGTGACTATTGGGAATTGATGCTGTAAATAGTGCACCACTCTTTCCTTTTCCAAGATATTTTTTAGGTAGTACCATTATTTTATTATTAGAGAGTGGTGAAACCTGTGCTATAAATCCATCTGTTAATTTAAAGTTCTTGACATTAGTCTTTAGTTCCCATTTTTCCTCCACACATGATCTTCCAGGTCTTGGTGATTGCTTTTCTGCAGCCTTTGTCTCTTCCTCCAGAATGAGTCTCCCAAGTGACCTCTTACCTTCTTCAAAGTCCATGAAGCTCAACTTGTCAGGAACTTGCTGTGGCTGTTTCCCTGTCAGTTCACTGAGGTTATGCAAGAGCTTCTGCTCAAGTTCAAGAATCTCATAGCAACTTGCTTGATTCATGAGTTGTTTCACCTCCTCCAGCTTGTGCTCTGTCTGTGTCACCTCTTTCCTGTTGTTAGCTTGAGCAGCTTCAAATGTTCTGACTCTATCCTTATAAATCCTGTCAGTCTCTTGCTTTAATTTCTGTTCTTCCTTTTGGATCTTTGCAACCTCCTCTTGGATCTTTGTAATCTCCTGTTGAGCCTTTTCTGAGATTTTCTTGTGAGTGTTGGCAAACATGTTGTCCAAATCCTTGCGAGATTTAGACGTCTCCTTGATAGTGGTGATCAATTCAGTTTTTGTGCTCTCACTTTTTTGGACCATTTCTGTGACCTTCTTCTTACATTTCTCTGCAGCTTCAGATAATCCAGTGAGTGAGTGTTTGGCATGATCAAGTACGGAGCAAGTTGTGCATATGACTTGCTCACATGAGTTGCAGTACACATTGAGATTCTGATCTGGATGCTTGCAACATTTTGGAACTTCATCTCTTAGTTTACTGTTATAAACAATTTGTCCTGATTGAAGTTGAGCCAGTGTGTAGATTTTGTGAGATTTCATCAAAGTCATACGTCCATGTGCCTTTTGACATTCTTGACACAGGAAATGATCACAGTCCATGCATCTTGAAATAGCCTGATTCTCCTCATCACAGGCTTGACATTTGATGTCTGACCCTTGACCTTCCAGTAGCTTTTCCTGCATTGTAACTTCCTCCTCCAGGGCACTGAATGCAAAGTTATTAGGGAGATCAGCAACCCCAGATCCCAACCCCATCTTGGCTCTGTCTGAGCTCTTGAAGGCATTGCAGGCAAAAACTATGCAAACAGTCCAGCAGTTTGGGCTGCCTGAAACGGTTGGTGCAGATGGAGCATTCCAGATGATCCACACTAATCTTCTCCAGCACTGATTGAGCTGTAACATTAGATGCCATCCTCACTGTTTGGTTAAATGTGAAAGGGATAGATAGACCTTTAACCTGAAAATGAAGCACATTAATTAAAAGCTTTAGGATTTACATGTATTCAAACTTCAAATGATGATATGGTTGTAATAAGCATTGATAGGGAACAAAACTGCACCTGCGCAAACCGGCAAAATCAATCTTGATAGTGAAATTCCAACTCGTGTTTCTTCTCAAAAACTCGTCTTGGGCACAAATTTCACAAATAAAGTATATATTCTTGAACTAAAAAATATGAAGAGAAAAATATACAGAAGTCGTCCGATCTTGAACGGGTTGTGATCAGGATAAACGTGCAATATCCGGTTCACCAGGCAGAGTTTTGTTCCGTATTGCAACATTGTAGCCACGGAAGTTGCCAATATGCCTGCTGTATTTCTAGAAAAACGCGGACATTGTGTGGATGGAGAAACTTTTAATAGAGAAACTGACGGTTTTCATCAGGCTGTGTAGTGATATTGTAAATGGTAAATTTCATATTCTAATCTTTTTCAACAACGCCAATTGCTTTATGTCATGTTTGGTGGAAATACAAAATTAAAAATTGGCCAAACATTGTATATTTTTTGTTTCAATTGGCAAAGAATTTTTTTTGAATCAGTGGATCTGTAATCCAAAATATAAAAAATGTGGCCTAAAGTGTTATTTGTTTACGTATTTATGAACTGGAAAAATAAGAATTATTTTATTGATACGTGGTTGGTAGGTGCATGTGCATGAATTTAGTTTTTCTGCATTTCGTGCTTTCATGAACTTCTTCAGACTGGTTTAACACACTGTTCATGGTGCATCAGAGAAGGAAACTGAAGTACAAATTGGTAGTCAAATGTCTGCACAGACTCCTATGCCAATTGTGGTTGCATTTGTCAAGCTTATTATCAACTAAACATACCTGAATGATGTCAGAAGATATTTCTGCAATCAATTTGGCAGTTTGATGAAGAAACTGGTGGACTATTTGGTGGATTCTCACTCTCTGGATTGACTTGAAAGTCTGTAGGATGTGGCATTGCTCACTGCCTGTAAATTCCCAATTCTATAAATACACCAGACTGCAATGGATCACAGGTCACAGTTGTTGTCGTGTTGCCTAGTCAACAGGTATTGTTATTTTGTGAACCCTTCCAAAGGCCCACTTTCTGGTAACAATAGATTTAGCAAGGGCCTGTTCCAGTCACTGTGTTACACTGAAGCGGAAATATGAATTTAACACATATGTAATATGTTGAACTATAGGCCTACATGTACATGTTTGTACATTTGTATGAAATTCATGTAGCAAAGGGAATATATGCCAATGTATGCATGACACTCAATAGATTACAACACAACATATAGAACATTATAAGTTAGTTATTCCATGGTTATTCCTGTCAGTCCCATTTTGAAATCTTGAAACCTAAATACAGCATTGTATGGTATCTTATACTCATAATATTCCTTTTCACATTTCCAAAGGAATTTTCATGAGTATTTGAAGACTGTAAACAGTGTCTATACTGTGCATGAATAATTACAATTGAGACATTTGATATGGGATCGCAATATAAGATATTTGTGATGACTTGGGTTAAGTTTTTCAAAAATGCTTTTAAAGTAACAGATTTTCCCAAAGAATCATTGTTTCTTTTGGTGTCGACCTTGCAAAGAAAACAAAAACAAAAACGTAAATAATTATTTTAAAGGTTTCTCGCATCAAAAGTGAGTTCATTAGGGGTGATGCGTGTACTGCACATGGACTGCAAAATGTAACCTGTGCCCCAGTGTGTAATGTGTTGGCCATACATGTACATAGCACCCGAGGCCAAATGCAGCCCTTGGGTGTTAAAAACGTCATATCCCACACAGTGGCGTATCCAGCTTTTGATGTCAGGGGGCAACCGCACGCAGACATCCCCGAACACTTGGCCTCCGTAAAATCCAAGGGGGGTGGGGGTTGGGGGTTGGGCTGGTACTCATTTTCCAAATAGGGGCGCTCTTCAAAACTGACCATTATTATGCATACTGGAAAATAAATGCCAATTTTCACAGCTCATTGTAATGGTTTCGGAGCTTGGTTTCTTTTTGTGTGTGTCAGAACTCTCTAACCATTTATGGAAATAGTTACTGAAAAAAATATCTTTCAAAATAACTGCCGGGGGCGGGGGACAAGGTGTCCCCCTCCCCTCCCCTGCCCCCTCCCCTCTGGATACACCACTGCTCCCACATCACATTAGTCAACAATTATTAATTGTAATTGAAGTCCGAGCTAGAAAGAGAAACAGTATTGTAACATGTGTTGTCAATTTGTTTACTTTAAACTTCAGGTGCTAAATGAAATGTCAGTGGCAGTCAACTGTGAGGAAGCCAAGAAACCTGTCTGCAAAAACAAGAACAGATTCCCCAATGTACTTCCATGTACAGGTAAGTTCATTTTGTAGAAGTTAGTATACTTTTCAAAAGACTGTTAAGTTGGAAAGTGGCCTCTTGAGGCAAACACCTGTCGGCACACTCACACTGCATTGTGAATTGTTCTAAATTGTAGGATTAATAGGTGCTAAGGTAGTTTATATAATATCTCCTTGCACAGCAAGAGAGATTTGGTGATTATTATGCAAAACAAGACTGCATCTTGACCTCGAGATTCTGACCATTCATCAGTGGGTACCTTCTATATCGGGTCTTTGGTTTTGTCATGTACATCTAATAACACGACTATACTTTTATGTTATAAATTGTGTTAACAAAAACAGCCTGTGTCAAAACGTTCTGTGACTTCGAATGATCATCACATAATATTTGAAATAACGCGCTTAATGTGATTGCCCACATGTGCATGTTAACAGTTTTAAAACCCAATGTTGGGTTTTATTGGATCTTTATGTCCGTTGCTGTATTACAAAAACGTGGCATCAAAATTGACCAATGAACAGCTACGTCCAGATTTGAGAATGAAATGATGTTATGTCGACTCATGGTTGGCGCGCGGGGTCGCATTAATTTGCATGCGTATACATATCAGACGTTGGACCAGAGACAGAGAGGGTGATACAATGGGTGATACTCAGACTAGTGTTAAGGCTTCATTCCTACAAAACCATTTTGAATTTCACTTTATTCAGAAAAGAGTGGACTGCAACATTAGGCAATTAAATGGGGTTGATACCATTCAAACCTTTATTGGTTCGTAACTAGTTTTAATTGTAAATATGTAAGGGACTGTTAAAGCTGATATGATGTTTGAATTCCATATTTCTGTGTACCTTTTAAAGGTGTAACTATGGGGCACGTGTCTCCCCCCCCCCCTCCCCCACTCCATTTGAAATCTTGAATTGCACACAACAAATGTATATTATGTTACCTTCCTTGGCCCCCCCCCCCCCTTTCAAAAAAAATTGGTGAACCCCCAGGTGCCCCCTAGAAGCTTAACCCTAGTTACGCCGCTGTACCTTTAGAAAGTTCCAGATCACGTACGTTTCACTCCCATAGAGTGTGTGATATTTATAATTTGTCTATAGTTGCAGCGGGAACTTGACTGCGCCCTCAGCAACCATACTATGTCGGCCTTGGCATCCAGGGGCTTCCTCTTGTTAGATGTCAGATGTCTTGTTAACTGTTTTACATGCGTAATGTAAAGAAATCTTTACTGTAAACATTTTGTTTGTATTGAGCTTGCCCTACAAATGCTATTGTTAGCAGTTCATTTCGGGGAAAAAATTCCAAGTGGTGGTTTTTCCCTTGTCACAAGCGGTACCAAAAAATTCTGAGTTTGGCTCAAGTTCAGGATATTCGAAGTTTTCACTGGCAATAAAATACTTAACGTGAAACCCCACGAGGCAATCTTTAACATACAATAGATTTCTTTTGGTTTCATTTTTTTGTTTTGATAAAAATGAGCACTTTTAAAAGCTGACCAAACAGTGTTGTTTCAATGTTTATTTTTTTGCTTGCGATACGTGGTACTAGACATCAACAAAGCTGACTAGTTTTCTAAGATCATAGTTACGTACTCAATATTTGAGAGCATTTGGGCAATATACAAATGCGGTCAATCAAGAGATAAAAGACATCAAGTGAAAATGTGTTCACAAATCTGATTACTTGATAATCCCCTCCACCGTTATGTACAACTATGAATGTTGGGGAAACCTCTGAAATTATGTTGTTTGTCGAAAACAAAATGGTCCTAAATGTAAACAAACGACAACTGAGAAAAGACGGTTGTTTCATGAAATCATTGTTGCTATGTTCTCAGAAAACGTTTTTAAAAATGTCTTCGACAAAATGTACAGTGAATGAACTAACTAGTGATACAATAACAACAGCTTCCAAATTAAGTGGTCTATAAATGATAAAATATATCTTTTTGAGTCGCATAATCGGTGTAAAATAGGCAGCCCTCATTATGTATGCAAATAACCCTAGGAGTCACACATGCCCAGTGGAAAATGCAATATGTACAAGTATAAATGTTGGGGGAACCTCTGAAATTATGTTTTTGTCGAAGACAAAATGGCTCTAAATGTATACAAACAACATCTGAGAAAAGATGGCTGTTTCATGAAATCACTGTTGAGCTATCTTCTCAGAAAACGTTTTTAAAAATTTCGACAAAATACACAGTGAATGAACTAACTAGTGATACAATAACAACGGCTTCCAAATTAAGTGGTCTATAAATGATAAAATACAAAGATATATTTTTGAGTCGCATGTAAAATAGGCAGCCCTCATTATGTATGCAAATAACCCTAGGGGTCAGCTGAAACGTATGTGAGATGCTGATTGGTAAAATAACAGACTTTGGATCTTTGCTGAAATGCCATTGTTGTCATGGAAGCTGCGTTCTCTTGGAAAGATATTCTGTAATTGAAGCAAATGCTCATTGCTTCATTTAGACTACTTGGTCTATCAGCATTTAGCAAACCAATACTTATTCAAAGAAGCAAAAGCCTCAATCATTTATGGAATAAACTAAACTATTATTGTAATGATACAGAACCTCTCACAAGTAGGTCATTCTATACATTTAGGGTCCGAAGTCTGACATTGTTCCTGTCCCTGTGACCTCTGAAATGTATAATTTGCCATTCAAGTGGCATTAAAAATGACTTCAAACTAATTAATATTTGTTGGGTAGGTCATTTGATTCACAGAAGCATTCTTGGAGGAAGAGTACACACATAAAGGAGTGCATCTTCAATTACAAAATCATGTGCATCTTCAATTACAAAATCAAAGTGCCCCCCCCCCCTTGCCCCCCCCCCCCTCGCAACGCCCATGCAAACAACCAGGATTTCAGTACAAAAATGTACGTCCATTATATTATTCACATTTACATACATCCATGTATCATTTGCAGTAGAATACACAAGGTTTTCATTTTCAATTTGGTTGTAAATGTAATGAAACTTATATTTATTTGATGAGGCACTCAGAAAGCACTGTGAAAGAGACAACCAAGGGATTGCATGTGATTTACTTTTCAACTCTTGCATTCATCCAGTTGCTTTTGAGTGTTTACATTTGTCACGTGTTCACTGAGGTGCAAAATCTTTCTCATTCAAAAATAAGTTGCATTAATTTAAATTCAACAATTTTCCCAATAATTAAAAAATCGAATAACAAAATTTAAGGAAATGTTTACATTTCATACGGGAGCAGGGTTGTATCTTATAATTGGAACACACATCATGCATTGACTTTGTATTTGCTAAGATGAATTTGAGGAAATTGAATTGCCCTCTCATGGTAGTACTTTCCCTCTCGTTGATAATATTTTTAAATGTGCACTCTGCCCTATTTGCAAACAATGTGAAGGGTCATTCCTTTGCTCTCATTATTGGGCCACCAGATCAAAGATTTTATGGGAAGTAGGCTGGGTGTTGAAGTCCACGATTTTCCAAAAGGGAAGTGGTTGAGGTATTAGATTCAACACATACAGAGACCAAAGACCTTAGAAATATACCAAATATACAGTATTGTAGAATGTTATTTAAAGGAATGAACATTAAAGTTCTTTGTCAGTGATAACAATATTCAATGTCTGATGGAAGTGGTTGTGGATACACTGGATAGCCCCAGTTTAATTAATCTGTCTTACACTCGGTGATAGACCTTTACAGACTCTTCTTCAGCCACTACCAGATCACCATATGATGTGAATGTCATTCCATGTGGATAACCACATCCCTTGATCACACATCCAATGTACTTGCCATCAGGACTGTAATGCAGAATGTCACCTGTTGAATGTCCACACACAGCAACATAGATGCTGCCATCACTGTCACAGCACACACCAGTAGGGCCCCAACCCAGGTGCATGTTGCTGGCCATGTCTACTGAGAATACACTGGCACCATAGTAGTCTACACACAGTAACTCATTTTCCCAGCTTTTTATGTAGATAACGTGGTGATTGTACACTGCCAGAGAACGCCCAATCATTGGAGCAGGCAGTCTCTTGATGAGGGATCCATCTGGGTTATGTATAGATATCTCATCCTTGCCTTCATAACCCACTGCTATCAGATTGCTGTCATCCACTGCAAGGGATGTTGGTAGGCTGTCTGACCCTCTACCTGGTGTGAACTGATGGAGGATCTGATGTTGCTTGTTGAAGACCTTGACTACTGGACCATCTAGAACAAGGAGCTTGTCATCCTTGCTCAGTGCAATATACCTTGCATTAGTGAGGCCATTGATTTGTAGCCTTTGTATTATAGATTGTTCTTGCTGACTTTTTGGAATTGAAGCTGTAGATAGTGCACCACTGTCTCCAAACAGTACATCTGTTTTAGATAGTACAGGTAGTTTATCGGTAGAGAGTGCTGCAACATCTGCTATCCATGTATTTCCTAATTCAAAGTTCTTAACTTCTGTCTTCAGTTCCCATTTCTCCTTCACACATGATCTTGCAGGTCTTGGTGATTTCTTTGCTGCAGCTTTTGGCTCTTCTTCCAGAATGAGTCTCCCAAGTGACTTGTCGCCTTCTTCAAAATCCATGAAGGTCAACTTGTCAGGAACTTGCTGTGGCTGTTTCCCCGTCAATTCACTGAGGTTATGCAAGAGCTTCTGCTGAAGTTCAAGAATCTCATGGCAGCTTGCTTGATTCATGAGTTGTTTTACCTCCTCCAGCTTGTGCTCTGTCTTTGTCACTTCTTTGCTGTTCTTAGCAAGAGCAGCTTCAAATGTTGTGACTCTCTCTTGATAAATCCTGTCAGTCTCTTTTAACAGTTTCTGCTCCTCCTGTCGGATCTTGGCAACCTCTTGGCCAGCCTTTTCTGAGATGTTCTTTTTGGTGTTTGAAAACATGAAGTCGAGTTTCTTGCGAGATATGCAAGTCTTCTCTATGGTGGTGTTCAGTTCTGTTTTGCTTCGACCAACTTTTGCAACAAGTTCTTCTACCTTTTTCTTACATTTCTCAAAAGCCTCAGGTAAGCCAATACAAGAGTGTTTTGGTTTTTCATGATCTAGAACTGTACACATGAGACATATGACTTGCTCACATGTGTCGCAGTAAACATTGAGATTCTGATCTGGATGCTTGCCACATTTGGGAACTTCATCTCTTAGCTTACTCTTGTAGACAATCTCTCCTGATCGGAGTTGAGCCAGTGTATAGATTTGATGAGATTTCATTAGAGTTAGACGTTCATGAGCCTTTTGACATTCTTGACACAGGAAATGATCACAGTCCATGCATCTTGACACAGCCTGATTCTCCTCATCACAGGCTTGGCATTTGATCTCTGACCCTTGACCTTCCAATTGCATTTCCTGCATTGTAACTTCCTCCACCAGGGCACTGAATGCAAAGTTATTAGGGAGATCAGCAACCCCAGACCCTTTCAACATGGTTTCATGTCTGCACAGAGGACATGTCAGCTTTGTACCACTAGGATCTTGGCTCTGTCTGAGCTCTTGGAGGCATTGCAGGCAAAAACTATGCAAACAGTCCAGCAGTTTGGGCTGCCTGAAACGGTTGGTGCAGATGGAGCATTCCAGATGATCCACACTAATCTTCTCCAACACTGATTGAGCTGTAACATTGGATGCCATCTTCACCGTTTAGTTTGATGTGATAGGGGTTTAACCTGAAAATGAAGCACATTAATTAAAAGCTTAAGGATTTACACGTATTCAAACTTCAAATGATGATATGGTTGTAATAAGCATTCATAGGTAACAAACCTGCACCTGTGCAAACCGGTAAAATCAAACTTGATAGTGAAATTCCAACTCATGTTTCTTCTCAAAAAATCATTTTGGACACAAATGTCGCAAATAAAATGTTTATTCTTGAACTAAAAAATATGAAGAGAAAAATATACAGAAGTCGTCCGATCTTGAACGGGTTGCGATCAGGATAAACGTGCAATATCCGGTTCACCAGGCACAGTTTTGTTCCGTATTGCTACATTGTAGCCACGGAAGTTGCCAATGTGCCTGCTGTATTTCTAGAAAAACGCGGACATTGTGTGGATGGAGAAACTTTTAATAGAGAAACTGACGGTTTTCATCAGGCTGTGTAGTGATATTGTAAATGGTAATTTTCATACTCTAATCTTTTTCAACAATGCCAATTGCTTTATATCATGTTGGTGGAAATATAAAATTAAAAATTGGCTAAACATTGTATAATTTGTTTTTTCAATTGGCAAAGAATTTTTTTTTTAAATCAGTGGATCTGTAATCCAAAATATGAAAAATGTGGCCTAAAGCGTTAGTTGTTTACGTATATATGAACTGAAAAATAGGACTTATCCATTGATAGCGTGGTTGGTACATGTAGGTGCATATGCATGAATTCATGTTTCTGCATTGCGTGCTTTCATGAACTTCTTCAGACTGGTTTAACACACTGTTCATGGTGCATCAGAGAAGGAAACTGAAGTACAAATTGGTAGTCAAATGTCTGCACTGATTCCTATGCCAATTGTGGTTACATTTGTCAAGCTTATTCTCAACTAAACATACCTGAATGATGTCAGAAGATATTTCTGCAATCAATTTGGCTGTTTGATGAAGAAACTGGTGGACTATTTGGTGGATTCTCACTCTCTGGATTGACTGGAATGTCTGTAGGGTGTGGCATTGCTCACTGCCTGTAAATTCCCAATTCTATAAATACACCAGACTGCAATGGATCACAGGTCACACAGTTGAACTTGTATTGCCAAGTCAACAGGTCTTGTTATTTTGTGAACACCTTTGAAGGCCCAGTTTCTGGTAACAATAGATTTTCCATGGGCCTGTTCCAGTCACTGTGTTACACTGAAGCGGAAATATGAATTTAACACATATGTGATATGTTGAACTGTATAGGCCTACATGTACATGATTGTACATTTGGCTGAAATTTATTTAGCAAAGGGAATAGGCCTATATGCCAATGTATGTATGACACTCACCAGATTACAATACAACATATAGAATATTATAAGTTGGTTATTCCTGTCAGTCCAATCTGGAAATCTTTAAACCCAAATACAGCATTGTATGGTATCTTATACACATAATATTCATTTTCACATTTCCAAAGGAATTTTCATGATAATTTGAAGACTGTGAACAGTGTCTATACTGTGCATGAATAATTACAATTGAGACATTTGATATGGGATCGCAATATGAGATATTTGTGATGACTTTAGTTAAGTTTTTCAAAAATGCTTCTAAAGTAAAAGATTTTCCCAAAGAAGCATTGTTTCTTTTGGTTTCAACCTTGCAAAGAAAAAACATGTAAATAATCCTTTTCAAGGTTTCTTGCATCGAAAGTGAGTTCATTATGGGTGATGTGTGTACTGCACATGGACTGCAAAATGCAGCCTGTGCCCCAGTGTGTAATGTGTTGGCCATACCTGTACATAGCACCCGAGGCGAAATGCAGCCCTTGGGTGTTAAAAACGTCATATCCCACACAGTGGCCTATCCAGCTTTTGATATCCGGGGGGGGGGGGGGGGGGGGGGGGGGGGGGGGGGGGGGGGGTGGGGGGGGTGGGGGGGCGGGGGGTGGGGCGGGGGGGGGGGGGGGGGGGGGGGACAATATTACCGCACTCAGACATCCCCGAACACTTGGCCTCCGTAAAATCCAACAGTGTGGGGGGGGGGGGGGGGGGCTTGTACCCATTTTCCTAATGGGGCGCTCTTCAAAACTGACCATTATTATGCATACTGGAAAATATATGTCGATTTTCACGGCTCATTGTAATGGTTTCAGAGCTTGGTTTCTTTTTTGTTTTTCGTGTCAGAACTCTCTAACCATTTATGGAAATAGTTACTAAAAAATATCTTCATATGAGCTGGTGGTGTCAAATAACGGAAACCTTGAAGAGCATGGCTGAAGTCGGACTGTTTCTTATTTGATATCTCGAGATATATTTGATCGATTTTTATGATTCAAAGTTGCTCACATAATAACTTTTGACACTTTTCCAAATACTTTACATTATAAACAAGAACCTAGTAGACTTTGGTAGATATTTTTTGTCAGTAAGCTCACAGGCAGAGGCACCATACACCACCTGTTCACGGCTCGTTAACTCTTGATCAGATAAGAGAGATCGCGTTGAAAGCTGCTGAATCTGAAATCGGTAGGTACGACCCGAGTTTGTCATAGGCAAACTCGGGTCTAGCTCAAATGGGAGATTCACGTAATGACTGTGAGGAAGCCAAGAAACCTGTCTGCAAAAACAAGAACAGATTCCCCAATGTACTCCCATGTACAGGTAAGTTCATTTTGTAGAAGTTAGTATACTAACTAAGTGGCCTCTTGAGGCAAACACTTGTTGGCACACTCGCACAGCATTGTGGATTGTTCTTAATTGTAGGGAGATGCTAAGATAGTCTATGAAATATCCTCATGCATAGCAAGGGTCTATGATATGCGAGCAGATTCGGCGATTAATTAATGCAAAACAAGACTGCGTATTGACCTCAATATTCTGACCATTCAGCGGGCACCTTCTATATCGGGTCTAATTTGGTAACCTGTTGTCATGTACATCTAATAAAACCTAGACACGACATATATTATGCTTTTACGTTGTAAATTATGTTAGAAAAAATAGCCTATGTCAAGCGGATCATATCGATATGTTACGCGATGTGACTTTGAATTATCATCATATAGTATTTTAAATAACGGGCATAATGAGAATGCCCTCTTGCGCATTCACGTTTCACCCACGGTCAGCGTTCCTGTATGTTAACAGTTTTGAAAGCCAGTGTCGGGTATTATTGGATCTCTATGCCCATTGTTGTATTACAAAAACATGGTATCAACATTGAACAATCAACAGCTTAGTCCAGATTTCGGAATGAAATGATGTCACGTTGACTCATGGCTTGCGCGTAGGGGTCAAATAAATTTGCATGCGTAGATATATCAGATGTTGACCAGAGACAGAGAGGCTGATACAATGGTGATACTCAGACTAGTGTTAAGGCTTCATTCTTACTAAACCATTTTGCATTTCAATTTATAAAACAAAGAGTGGACTGCAACATTATGCAATTAAAGGGGGTTGATAACATCCAAATATTTCTTTTGGTTCGTAACTAGTTTTAATTGTAAATATGTAAGAGACTGTTAAACCTGATATAATGTTAGAATTCCATATTTCTGTGTACCTTTCAAAGGTGTAACTATGAGGCATGTTTTCTCCCCCCCCCCCCCCACTCCCATTTGAAATCTTGAATTGCACACAACAAATGTATATGTTACCTTCCTTGCCCCCCCCCCTTCTTTCAAAAAACAAATTGATGAACCCCCCAGCTGCCCCACTTGAAGCTTAACCCTAGTTACGCCGTTGGTACCTTTTAAAAAGCTGCGTCCCCGCGTCAATTCTGGAACTTTGGTCTGACCAGAGACCGAATATTTTTTTTTTTGGCCTTACATACTCAAAATATTTTGAGAGCATGTTGACAATATTCAATGCAGTAAATCAGGAGATAAAAAATCAAGGGAAAATGTGTTCACAAATCTGATTACTTGATGATCCCCTCTACCATTATTAATCAGGTGGCTTAGATCTAATTTTCGTCAAGATCGTGACCGACTGGTCCAAAGCACAATCTTGGCAGATAGATTCTTACAGACCTAAAGAAGATATTTAGAAGGGGTGACACCTGAAATTCTTTTGGGGAAGGGTGCCTAATTTGCATAAATTGTTAATCCCTGTCGTGTAATATATTTATTCCCAAATTTGGGTATATTTCTATTTTTCATTTTTTTGAAAAGTGTATTTTGGGGATTCTACTTACATATCTTTACTTGAATAACATTTTCCTAAGCATGAAAGTGACTGAATAATTATGAGGACATAGTAACGATCCAAAATGGCTACTATTATGCCCTAAAATTGCGCGCATTTACCTTGTCTCCAGATATCATCAATTAGTCTTGCCAAACATCAGCATTGATGAACTTCAAATTCACAAGTAGCTTACTGGTACAGTTACCCTATTAAAACCTTATGCAAAATCATGTGAACAATGATAACATTGTGATATTTAGCCCAGAAAACAAAAACTGGGAAAAAACAAGGTGCCCATAAACTTAGGCTAACAAGTAGGTGAAGGGTTTGCCTAACATGGAACACTGGAACAAGTTCAAGGAAATTTCCAAAATTATTGTTGAGAGAAAACGTTTTGGCGTAGACTAAATTTATTGTAAACAACAATAATCTCTTATTTAGGGGGATTTCGTTGAACTTGTTCAAGTCCCCACGTTATCCTTCCCGTACTAGCCCAATTTTACGGACACCACATTTTCTCGCCTTTTTTTGGTCATTTGGGCTAAACATCAAGATGTTATCAATTTCCACTTGATTTCCCACTTATTTTTGTTAGGGTAACTATGTCAGTAAGTAACTTTGTGAAATTTGAAGCTCATCAATACCCACGTTTGGCGAGCCTAGTTGATGATATCTGAGGAAAGGTAAATGCGCGTAACTTTAGGGTAAAATAGTAGCAATTTTGGTTTTTACTATGTCCTCCTAATTATTCAGTCACGTATATGTTTTACAAAATGTTATTGAAGTAAGAATATGCAAGTA